TTAACAACAAAGAAACATATCAGTTATTGATCTTGGTAGCTCTGGTAGCCAATCGTCAATACTTACAATTGTTGGGCTGCCTATTAATGATGGATTAGATATTAGTTGTCAGATTATATCATATCCACCATTTGAACAAGTGTTTTCTAACGCTGGTGTACTAACAATAAGAGGTTAGTCCATTCATGTAATTAGGCTATTGCAATTTTTAAATTAAAGTTTCGATCTCGAGTGGGCGGGTAGTGTATGCCGATTATTTAGTGCATGTACCTCCTACAGTCCTACTATTTACTATAAAAAACTACAAAAATCTACTATAATTAGGATTTAGGATATACATGTACCTCCACCTCATTGTACTTGTGTATATACATGTACATGTACATGTATATACTCTTTATTTTCTAGTTCCTCCTCCAAGTTACCTCACCATTACTCCTACCTCTCTCTCTGTTAATCACAGTGACACTGCTACCTTCACTTGTACAGTTACATCACTAACTACTCCTAATATAACATGGACTACTACTGCTACTGCTGGTATAACCAGTCAACCTAATGTACTTGCCTCCTCTCAAGGCAGTGATATGTATACTAGTAGTTTAGTATTGATTGGAGTTACATTAGACAGTATTGGATCATATACATGTACTGCTACTAATGAAGGAGGGAGTATTAATACTACTGCTATGTTTAATGTTACTGGTAAGTAAAGTATTCAAAATTGAATTTATTTTTGGAATCTCCCTTACCAATAATTTTAATTATTGTGCTAACACCATGATGATATTAAGGACACTTAGTTTTGAACATATATTTATTGTCCAATGTTTATAGCATATTTGCAATTGTAGTAATACCATTTTTGGCTATTTTGGCTGTTATAATTCTTTTATCTTTTGTTTCATTCTTAGTACCTACATCTGGAGTGTCCTTAACTCCTGACTCACTTGAGATCTACTACAATATGACTCTTGAATTAAACTGTAGAGTATTTTCAGTTACTCCTCCTACCATCAATTGGACCACTACAGCTAACGTTACCATACCTAGTGAGAGCATTGTAACAATGAACACTGGCAACATGTACAAGAGTGTCCTCACTATTGATAATATTGATCTCAGTTATACTGGCCTGTATACTTGCTCCTTTACTAATCAAGGAGGAACTGAGAGTGATGTTTCAAACGTCACTGTTATTTGTAAGTGTCTTCATCATCACTTTGTATGTTGCATATATCTCTTACTCTTTTTCCACTCTTTATAGTACCAGTTCCTACTGTATCCATAACATCATCACCTATGAAATATGCGACATATGCTGATCATCAATTCATCATGTGTACTGTCACTTCATTAATGAGACCCTCCAGTATAGTTTGGTATCATAATGACACTTTGATATCAAGTGGAGCTCAGCCTAGCTTCACAGCCACTGTTGCTCCTAATACATACACTAGTGTATTGGTTAGGGATAATGTGGTCCTTAGAGATAATGGAGTGTATCGCTGCCAGGCTCAGAATATGGCTGGTATTGGTGCCGATAACATTACTATTAATGTTTTTGGTAAGTACATGTATTGTGTTGTTGTTGTTGTTTGCATGTATACTTGTACTATGTTGTGGCTATTTATTATTGTTGTGATTGTTGTTTATTGTCACTGTTATATTGATGTGGAGTGTTTAAATTTATGCATCTATTTTGAAAATTTTATTAAATGTATTATTTTTCTCTTCTTCTCTTTCCTAATTCTCAAACTCCTTTTCTTCATTATACTCAATTTATTTCTCTTTCCTTTAGTCCCCCAACCAGTTATACTTAATCTTAATGATATCAATGCCACCATTGGTCTTAATATTACACTCAACTGTACAGCATCTGGTTTTGGTCTTACATATGACTGGGAGCCTGTTCCTTGCAGTTCTGATTGTACAATTAGTGGATTAAATACTCCAATATTGTCCCTGGGGCCTGTTGTTTTTGGATCAGCTGGGGAATATGTTTGCAATGTCACTGATTTTATAGGACAGAAGGTGTCAAAGATCATTACTATCACACCATTGGGTGAGTATTGGAATACATATTGATTGTACAACGTGTACATGTACTGTGGGTTTTAATTTAATGGCAACTACACTACGTGAACTAAAAGTACATGTAGCATGTTAGTGTATGCAACATGGAAATTGTTGGATGTTTTTCATAATGTATATATGTATGTACATGTACTTTTATTGTGTACATACATGTATGCATCCTTTTTTAATTTTATGATTTTCATTCCCCCCTCTCTTTCAGGTCCTACTTTATTATCATCAAATGTGTCAAATTGTGCTGCCACTCCAATACAAGTGATTAATGGGACCAATGAGTTCCTACAGTGTTCATTCCAGAACAGACCTGATGCTCCATATAACCTCACCGTTGACTGGTTTATAAGTGGACAAAGGTTTGGGACCTCTCGGGCCAGTAACGCTAGTACCTTTGTAACTACCACTCCCGAGGATGAAAACAGGATTGTCACAACAATGATATCTTTTAATCCGGTGGATTATTTAAACTTTATCTCACCCGACATATCAAGCTTTGAGCATGCCTATACCTGTACGGCTTTTATCGGGAACTTCTTTAATGAACAAGTAACGAGTAATGGGACTTGCCTTGAAGGATTATGTAAGTATTTGAGAAGAAAGAGAGAGAGAGGGAGGGAGAGATTGGAGGAAAAGATAAAAAATAAAGTAGAGAAAGCTACATTCTATTGTATTTATTTTTTTCTAGTTGGGCCTGTTCTTATAACAAAGCCTGAAGAGAACTCTAGAGCAAATCTTGGGGACAAGTTCGTATTTAAATGTGATCCTGATTATTCTAACCCAAGACCTCATTTACAAATTAACAAGACACTAACGAATGGAACTGAACTCAATCTGTATAATGGTCTATCTAAGTTGCATTCTATTGCGAATGTTACCTTTGATGATGCTGGTAGTTACAGATGTGTATTGACTAATGATTATGGAAGGACTGAGAGCAACTTTCAACTGATAGTACAAAGTATGTGTGTATGTACTGTATGTATGTATTCAGTTTGAACCAAAGATATTAATGTATGCTTATACTGTATAGGTGTAAAGATTATAAGTATAAATTATACTTATAATTTAATTTCACAAAGCATTAATAGTTAATGGGTGTATCAACAACTCGTGTCTAAACCAGCAAAACTCATTCCTCATGCATTTAATTTTATCTGTTAGCATAAAATGAAATTTATGCCCTGTAACTCCTCATTTTTTATTGGAAAATATGAAAGGAGGGTTGTACAAGAAAATGAACATTGCTTATTT